GGGGGGGGGGGGTGTGTGCTCACTCCTTTCCTAACTTTCCCAGCTAGGAAACCAGAGACCCAGGTTCCAGAACTACAGGTCTGGAATCTACTAGAAGCACCCTGCACGAGGCTTCCAGTAGCAGGGAGGAAGCACCCACTCCCACCCTACATTGGTTTCCTCCTTGACAAAACAGGCCCTGGACTCTCACCCCTCTGCTCCTAAAATTTAGACTTCTTGGGGCACCTGTGCCAAGGGCTGCCATGTCCAGGGACCAGGAAGTTACTGGCCTTTCACCCCTTGTGTCCCCTCCTTACATGACCACACCAACCAGAGCTCACATAGTGAGTCCACAGCAGAGCCAGGACTTGGACCCAGGATGACTCACCTTCCCAATCCTCCAGGGCTGGTGAGGGCTGTCCGGGGCGCAGAGATGGGCCTTCAAAGCCCCAGGCAGTTGCTGTGGGCTCCTCAGGGCGGGTAGTGACTGTGGAAGGGATGAGGAATGGAGGGAAGGAAACATGCTGATGGGGTCCTCTGTGGGCTGCTTGTATACAAGGTGCTGTCATGATCATCCCCATTTCACGAGGCGGGGTTGGGGGGTAGTGAGTGAGGGTCTCAGAAGCCAGAACCATCTCTCTGGCTGACCCCAAGGAATGCAGGAACCCCCCCCCCCCCCCCCCCCCCCCCCCCGCCGCCTCCAGGAAACCTCCCTATGGCCCCTACCCCCAATCTCCTGCAGCCCCATCCCTCCCTCTGCCCTGGCCAGGATGCCATAGTCTGGGGAAGTCTGTGTGTCTGGTCTGACCCAGTTCTCCCCCTCAGTGTGCTCAGCGACCATGAGTTTAGTTGGCTCTGCCTCTGCCCTCAGGTGGAGCTGCGTTCTTCATCCATTTGCGGGGTTGGAGGTCTCTCCCTCAGTGTACCTTCCATCCCTTCACTTGGGGCCCAAGCTGCCATTGGGAGGTCTTTGGAATCTAGCCTGGCTTCTCTGACTTTGAGTTATCTAAGATAGCCAGGCTGAGCGGTGACCTCAGACAAGTCCCTTCCCTGTCTGTGTCTCAGTCTCCTCATCTGAGAAATGGATCCAGTGCCCTGTTCCACTGAGTGCTCCCGAGACGGGAAGTTTTCTGAATGGTGTGTTTGTGGAAGAGGAGGAGTTGTGTGAGAGGGGACCGCTCTGACCCCTGAATCCTGGGCCAAGACACAATGCTTCAGAGTCCAAATGCTGGGGGTGAGACCGGCCCCCCGCTGTCCCCAGGAACCTAAAGGAGCCTAAAGTTCATATGGATACTCCGAGTTCCCCTACCTCTCTTGAGGAGGCAAGAGAACAGAGAAGTTTCCTCCCTTCCCTCCCCCGGGCCCGTTGTTGGTCCCAAGAATCCATACGCCCGACGCCCCTTCACTCCACTCCCGGGCTGACGAAGGGGGACCCAGGTCTGAGGAAGCCAGAGGGTCCCTTGGTTCCCTCTCCCGGAGCGGCTGCGTGCCAGGCCTAGGGGTCTGGGCTGGGGTCATGGGGCGCCTCACCTCGAGCCCCCGCCAGGTGCGCGGCGGCGACAAAGAGGCAGAGTAGTGGCGGCAATGACGCCATGGCCGGGTCCGAGAGTCCGAGGGAGGGTCCGGGCTCCGCGGCGCGCTCGGATCCGACTCCCGCGGGTCTGGCGGCCGCTGGGGCTGAGGGTGGGGGCGGGAGGTGACCGCAGGCCACGCCCCGTGCAGGCCACGCCCCGTGCAAGCATCGCTCCCTGGCCCTGGGTGACTTCGGTGAGCTAGCAACCTCTCCGGTCGCCCCCTTCGGTGCGTCCGGCTGTGCCTCCGCCCTCAGGCTGGCCTGCGTCCTCCCCACCCCACCCCCCACCCCCCGTCGCCAGCTGGAAGTCCCTCCCTCAACCCACTCTCCATTCTCCACCTTGGGTCCCAAGCTGCCTGCG